TCAACGGGGACTCTATTTGATTATAAAAAAATGCTTTAATTTGAGTCCATCTCATCAAGTTGGAGATTTATCATGCCCCCTTCTCGTTTTTCACCCTTAAACAAATAAGGAAAACATTTAAATAAACAAAAATAATACTAAACGTTAGTCATTTCCAATTTTATTTTTTAACTTTAGTAGCTTGAAAAATCTTTAAAATGAGAAAAGACAGATATTGCTAAAATTGTATAAATAATAACACATACAAAAGAAGTTTTATATTGTATATATAAAAGTGATTTAATTTCTGTTTAAATTAAAATCCTATGAATTAATCTTTTAAAATATAAAATTTGTGTTAAATAACATTATTAGGTACTTTGCTTAGAAAATTAACTTTAAATATATTACTGCATAAATTTTTAATTTGATTTCAAATAAAATTTTTCTTTTATTACTAAGAAGGCACAATATTCTATACTATATAGAAGGTAAGTATATTAATGTTACTGTCCCAGGAGGGTGGGTGTACAAATATTATGAATATGCAAATGTTATGTATAATAAAAGTGTCCTTTGAATGAGACAAACAAATACGAACATTGTCCTGTCTCTCCTTCTATTTGACCTCTTGTAAAGTTTAGTTTTCTTTTTGTTGTAAGTATCTCACTTTCAGATTTCCTTGTATCAGTTTTATATTTAATAAAAGCTAGTTATTCCTAATTAGTATTTTGGCCATACAACTTCTTAGCCATGCAATAAAGAGGTCTTCTTTAATTACCTAAAATTTTAACCCCAAAAATGTAGTTGGAAATACAAATTAAGTATGTAATAAAGTGAGTGTTTTTGAAGGAATTTTATGTACTTATTATTAATTTACTTACCAAGTGGTTTTTCTTCTATCAGTAGCAGTAAATTGCTTGCGATTTTTTTTTTGTCAACCATTATAATACTTCAACTAAACGAACTCAAATTGAACTTTTATAATATACCGGGTGTCCCAGATTTTTTTGCCCAGCGGATATCTCGGTTATTTAATGATATAAAATTGTAAAAAAAAATATGAATAATATTTGTCTAGTAGCCTTATAAATTCCACTACATAAAGTTATATTCATCAATCCACCCCATAGGAACAACCCCTAACTTTTTTTTTTCAAATGTCACCCCTATATTTTTTTTTGCTGATATAAATACTCAATTTGTCCCGAATGCAACGATATGATATTTGATATACTTTACAGAGTCATAAAGCCGGTAAAGACTAAAAACCAATGTTGTGGTTAAAGTCATTAATTTTGTATCACCTGGTATTTTCTTTTTATTTTGATTAGAATTGCTTCGTTTTTGTTTTTTTTTTGTTACCTATAACTAACTAACGATATGCTTAGACCATTTCTGAAATTGTTCGCTAGCTATAAACAACAGACAAAATGCCCTTTACATTCACTCCAAACGAATATGTTGATATGCTTTTAATTTTTGGTGAGTGCCAAAAAAATTCTCGTGCTGCTGTACACTTGTATCAACAGAGGTTTCCTGAGCGCCGACAACCATCACGTAAAACATATTCTTATGTTGAGACTAGGATGAGAGAAGGGTCATTTCCAGGAAAAGACAAACATCGTCAACATGCTGCTGCTGTAAGAACTGAAGAAATGTGCATTAATGTATTAGCTTATGTGCAAGTACATCCCCAGATATCGACGCGAAACCTAGCTAACGAGGTTCATATTAGTAAGTCGTCAGTACAAAGAATCCTAAAATCCTATAATTTTCATCCGTTTAAAATTCATTTGCATCAGGAATTTAGAGCTGGAGATTTCGAAAGAAGGATAACATTAATAGCACATTTTGAAGATTTAATGGAACGAAATCCCAACATTTTGAACCAGACATTGTGGAGTGACGAATCAAGGTTTCACAATAATGCTACTGTAAATCGTCACAATATGCATTATTGGTCTCCTGAAAACCCTCACTGGGTTAGGGAAACTAACTTTCAGACCATCTGGGGGAGTAAATGTGTGGTGTGTATTATTTCAGGGACGACTGATAGGTCCCTATTTTTTTCAAGGTACGTTAACTGGTGCTAGGTACTTACACTTTCTTGAAAATGACCTTCCAGAACTTCTTGAAGAAATTCCAATACAAGAAAGAGGTGCTATGTGGTGGCAACAAGATGGAGCTCCTCCACATAATAGTAGTTTAGTTACCCAATTTTTAAACGAACGCTTTGAAAATCAGTGGATCGGAAACAGCGGCCCTTTGAGGTGGCCTGTGCGTTCACCAGATTTATCGCCTCTAGATTTTTTTTTATGGGGATATCTGAAGACCGTGGTATTTGAAACACAGCCATTGAATTTAGAAGATTTGCAAAATAAAATAGTACAAGCCTGCAATAACATTACACCAGAAATGATTACAGCGTCATGTACTCGTGAACTCATTCGACGTTTTGAAGCATGTTTGGCAAGTAATGGGGGCCATTTCGAACAATTTTTGTAAATATTCAATTATTTAAAAAACAAATTAAGAGGTTTACCTATTCATTGGATTTGTTATTTTTTAATATAATAAAATGATAAAATGTAAACTAATTATTAATGACTTTAACCACAACATTGGTTTTTAGTCTTTACCGGCTTTATGACTCTGTAAAGTATATCAAAAATCATATCGTTGTATTCGGGACAAATTGAGTATTTATATCAGCGAAAAAAAATATAGGGGTGACATTTGAAAAAAAAAAGTTAGGGGTTGTTCCTATGGGGTGGATTGATGAATATAACTTTATGTAGTGGAATTTAAAAGGCTACTAGACAAATATTATTCATATTTTTTTTTACAATTTTATATCATTAAATAACCGAGATATCCGCTGGGCAAAAAAATCTGGGACACCCGGTATATTCAAAGTACCTCTCGACACTCACATAAATTAGCTGGAATAATTGAAAAAATCTAAAATATTACTCAATAAAAATTCATCTGTCAAAGTAAATGACGAGCACAGCTGACAGAGGAAGCGACGTTGCCAGTTCACGTCGTCGTTAAAAATTAACAGAAGAATGCAACCCGTACTACACCTTTAGTAATAGATTTGGGTTTAACGAGTCATTAGATATTTAACGATCGTTGTTGCAACCCGCTGTCATTCTTTTTATTAGGATAAAATATATTTAAAAATCTGATGTGTCCAACACATGACTTTCCTATCTAGTTTTTATAGGCTTTTTCCGGTTATTTTGTACAACCTATTGCAGCATCTCTATAAATGTTTAGAGGATAAACTAAATATATACATTGTCCACATACATCTACCTCGAAACATTCTTCTATAGATATTCATGGAAAACGAAAATACTGAAAAATTAAAATTTCCTACAATTACGGTCCATTTTAGAAAAATCATGTATAAACAAAAATTATAGAGATCGATATCGCAAACAACTTTTATTTCAAAAACTTTTATAAAATTCAGAATTTTGCACATTTTGTCAAATTTCTCGAATACGGACCATTTTTTTGAGTTTTCTTCAAAATTCGAAATTTACACATTTTCTCAAATATCTCGAATACGGTCCATTTTAGAGAAATTATGTATAGAATAAAAATTATAGAGAATTATATTATTTGAACAATTTTTATAAAAAATTATTTTTTTTACATTTTGTCAAATTTCTCGAATACGGACCATTTTAGGAAAATTTTGCATAGAACAAAAATTATAGATAATTATATTAAAAGTAACTTTTATTTGAAGAATTTTCTTCTCCAAACGTAAATAACAGATATATTCCATGAAATATAAAAATGACCACCTATAAAGTACCCCCCCAGATGTTCCGACTCTGCCCAAAATCTGATCAGCTCATTAGACGCTGGAACAAAGCCTAAGTTTGAAATTTGGTGTTTTTCCGTGTATCGGTTCATGAGTTATGCGTTATACAGACACACACACACATACACACATACATCATCGCGAAAATAGTCAAAACGGATTCAGGGGACCTCAAAACGTAAAAATCCGTCGAAAACTCGAGGTCGAAAAAAATCATGATTCCTATACTTTCCTTATATCTGTATACAGATAGGAAAGTAAAAATGAATAATAATCCATTAGATATTCATTGTAAATAGTTAAAGAAACCGAAAATTTTGGTAAAATTATAACAAATTGACCTAAACCAATTATTTAAGTATAAATGTTAAAGAGAAATAAATGATAAGTTATCGCGAAAGTTTAAGGGATGAGTTTTCGTACGAAAGGTCCTAGGTTAAAATTCGGGTAGAATTCAAGCAAATTCGTGTTTTTTTTTTTTAATTTATTATTTGGTACAATCCAGAAATTCACTTCTTTGTGTTAATTATTTTTAAAATAGTAATTTTATGTTAATAACCTCTAAATTACTTTATAAGACGTGTCATTCGTAGAAATATACTATACAATTCGAGTAGTTTGCTTGTATCGCACTGAATACTTTATTGAATTTTTGTAGATCATTATGTTTTGTAAATAACATGAAACGGAACATACTGTAACAAAGTCAGTCTTCACAAAACTTAGTTTTTCAATAAAAAATTATCTATGTACAAAAACAAATGTAGTATTCTCTAATCAGATTATTGTTTTTGAAATTGTAAGTGTTCGTTTTTTTAACTATTTACCCTTAATTCTGAAATAATATTTGCATTATTTTTTAAATTGCCTGTTAATCATACTATTTATACAAAAAATGCAGACATAATGTCGGAAGTTTAGTACAACTTGGGATCAATGGTTTATATCCATTCAACGCTTTGACCTGACTGAAACTGGTAGCATTTAGAGAAAATAGTTTTGAGTAAAATACTTTTATTAAACAATAATTGAACGTGATTGGTTTCTAATATAAGTAACGGTTCTCAGTTGTGAATTGGTCACTTTCCAACTCCCGCCTTAAGCTGTCTCTACAAACGTAGGGAAAACAATATTTTTTAGTATATATCTTTGTTATTTTAATTTATATTTATTTTAGAAATTGATTTCCGCCATTCCGGAACCACCGCATGAAGAAGTCTGGAACTCTGGAAGGCCAAAGAGGACATGTATTAGCAAGAAAAGATTATCGTTGGATGATAGACTAACAAATTGTAAAACTTATTATAAAGTTGAAGTTGTGTCACCGAAACTTAGATCTGATTCCAGCAAATACCAAGAAACCAGCAAAAGACAACAATCGCAGGTTATTATTTTAAAATAAATATATTAAAAAAAAAAACTACTCTGGATGCTTTAATTTTGATCAAATGATTTTTTTATTATTAATAATTTATAATTTCTGCTTTACCTTGTAACTTTTTTATTTTCCATTTTTATATTATCAAATTAGATTAAATTGATTTATTTTCGACCTTAGAAACTGGTTAAATCTACTTGTACATCTTTTTGTTACACTCTATTTAATCATAACACAAAAATAATGTTATTTTATAAGCAGCTTCTACACTGTATATTTAAATAAATGTGTACTTAATTATAATTAAGAACACGCTCATTTAAACGTGTGGTTGATCGTTTAGTCTGAAAAATTATTTCAGTCTCCGAAACGGGAGGAAGAAAAAGCTCTCATAGTAAAATTCAAAAAACTCCGCAACTCTGAACTGATTCAGCTAAATAACGAAGCTACGAATTTTCTTTTTCCCAAAAAGGATGAGACCAGTGAAGAAGAAGATGACGAAGACGACGATGATGTAGATTGTAATACAACTGCCAGTTCTGTTGACAGCATTTCCAACTTAGAATTAGAAGACTGTAAAACTTCAACACCTAGGGTTTGTACTTTTTATAGTTATAAATCAGAGTTCGCTTCCGCCTAATATTTTTCCAATTTAAAATTTATCATCAAGCTATCTTCTGATATGACATTTTTCACATCATTGTCAGTGCTAACATGTGAAACCACATTTCTTTGAAGAGAAAATGGCTATGCGCTAGTTCTTTGAGATGTCATTTTGGTTCTACTGACATTTAATTCTAACCAAACTTTTAACAAAAACATCAATAAATTTGACATATACGTTTTTACTCTTTTTATTTTATTTCAAAATATTGTTTACAGGTCATAAAAAATAGTTTAAAGGTATGTAATTGGTAACTAAACGATTGTATATTTGATACATGCTATCTACTTACTTTAGGAATATATTTATAAAAGTGAAAAAAACGATATAATTTAGGTAAACAAAACAGCACTCAAAAAATCTACTGTCACTTTGTCAGTGGAATTATAATTAGGCATTCCAAACAAATGAATTACCAGTGGGCAGGTTTGGTATATCTAAGGGTGGCGACATATGGTGTATTCTATCTACTTTACGTAAAATCAGGAATAATGGATTAAATTTAAATATTTTATGTCAAACACAATAAAAATAATATTTAAAAAACCCACCTATACATTTCTTCATAAATTGGCAGGCTTGAGTACTACTTCGAATAAAAATAGCGTCCAAGTTGCAAGACTATGTCGCTACTCCCTTAAATATACAAGAATTTCCCACTGACACCTATTGTTTGACAGGTCATTGGAATGCCTAATTACATCATCACTGAACTAGCGCATTAGGCATTCCAACGACCTGTCAAACAATACCTGCCAGTGGGAAGGTCTCGTATATCTAAGGGGGGTAGCGACATAGTCTTGTATCTTGGACGTTATTTTTATTTGACGTAGTAGTCGCCAAGCCTGTCAATTTATGAAAAAGTGTAAAAGCGATTTTTTTAAATAATATTTTTATTGTGTTTGACCTAAAATATTTAACTGTAATGCTTTATTCATGATTTTACGTATTGTAGATAGAATACATCGTATGTCGCAACCCTTAGATACACCAAACCTTCCCACTGGCAATTCATTTGTTTGGAATGCCTAATTATTAAACAAATAATGACGATCGATATGTCTTTTGCTTGTCAATAATCACTGAAGATGGCTTAATGTCGAAAAAACTTTGCTATTTTAATAAATAAATTACCCAAAATACAAGTTTTTTGCTGTCTGTCATTTAGGAACGTTAATAGTTTGTCTTTAATGAGTTTTTCGAATAGTTTTCTTAAAACTAAAGAAAGTACAAGTTACTAAATTCATCCAGTTTCAACTCTACAAAATTATTAGTCTCTTTCTATATCTGATAAATCGAAAAATGTATCTTTTTTTACTTCCTTCTTGCATTATCATTTTTGGCTTGTAACCCACTATTATATATTTTTTTACAAATTAATTTTTTTTAGTTAAAAAACGAGGATGAAACGTCAATGGATAGTACAGAGAAAAAGAAGAAACGAAGGACTCACGCAGAAGCTTTTATATTGGACAATCAAAAATATTATAAGTTTGAAACGCCTGGTTCCAGGTTAGTATAATTATATTTTCCATTATTTATTGGTTCTCATAAATTTTTTGTTTAATTCATGTGATGTCAATGAGCCAAACAAAAACTGTCATTGATTTTAATATAAACCTTTAAAGTTTTTTTAACATAGGTACAGAATGAATTCTAAGTTGATACTTTTGTTTAACTAAATTTTAATATAGGAACATGGACTCTTAAAGGGGTTAGTTACCAAGATACAGGGTGTTAAAAATTTAAAATTTGCCTTAAATCAAAAACGCCTTTAAATATTAATTTCAAATTTGGTGACCAATATGCTCTTTAATAAAATAATATTTTGACATAAACTTACTTTTAAAAGTTTTTACCAGTGACGCGCTATCAAGGTTAATGGTAATTTTTCCCTCTATTTTTTACGCCAGTGGGAAAAATATTTCTTATTTTTTTTTAGATTCTTTGTTCATTTTTAGTAAATAAAAAGTCAACTATGTATGTAGCTAAAATGAACAGTGTCGTAAAAATTTGCTTCTAAACAAAAGTACATGTTCTTAATCACTTGTAAATACGTAATATTTTTAAATTTTAATTTAGTACAGTACTCGCCATTTAAGATGTTGCGCAGATTCTGTAATTCGTCCATATTTATATTGTTAACGCCAATTCAGTATTATCAGTAGCATAGTTAGTCTAATCAACAAGTTCAAAAGCGTGTTTTTAGGACATACTATTACGAAAATTATGTTCAATAGCTCATTCGATTCGGAATAATGTCTAGATCATTGTGTGAAGAAAAATTTTGCAGTGCATAAAAAATTGCAAAAGTTATAAACAATTGAACACCTCAAAAACATGGTGTTTGGTTTTTCGCCTATAGTTTGTAAACTATAAATATTTTTGGATTTTTCAAAAAAGATCCTTAAAGAGGAGGAAATTTGCTATAAATAAGTTTCGACTCCCGGAACTGTACCTCCATTATTTATAATTTTAATTTAACGCTCAAAGTAGCCTTCCGCGCGCCATTTTTAGGTTGCGCGCACGGCGTCGAAACTGAGTACGTTACATAAAATAATTTTTTTAAGTTAATAAAATTAAATTAAAAAATTTTAAAAAATTACGTTGTATTCTTAACACTTGGAAACATTCATTCCCGTTGGAATTTTTCATAAAAATTAATTTTCCAACAAAGTAGGTTATTGTTAACAAAATTTTTAGAATTTCTCTCATTATTACAAATTGATAAAAATATTAAATAATTACCGTAAATTTTTTTTGGTTCGTGGAGCTCTTTTTATATACATATAAAACAAAATAGCTTCATAAAAGTTTAAAAAATGTTAATAATAATTTATTAAAGTTTACAAAAACAGAAAAGTGCTATAAATTTTTTTTTTTTTCAATTTCTTATAATATTACTGTTTTAATGTCGAGAAAAGACATTTAATTAAAAAAAAAAATTTTTTTCCTCCATTTGTTTATAAATTTTTTATTAACAAATGGAGTATTTCAATTTTTTTCAAATTTTTTTTTTACAACTTTCTAGACAATTGCCAATTGTGATTTTTAAAAAAAAATTTTTCTTAATAATAACTTTTAATTGTTTATAATCGTTTTTTTAATATATCTATTCTTTAAATTATTAGTTAAGAAATGTGTTTTTTTTTAATCCTAATTGACAGTCCTCTACAAAGTGATAGCAAAAAAATTTTTTTTTATTAATAATTCCATTGTTTATTAAGTTAACAATTTGTTATAAACAAATTCCCAACTTTGGTTTATTTTTTCCTGAAAGAAATTAAAATTCCAAAAACGACTTAGTGCATTGAAATTACGGAAAAAATTTTATTCAATTTTTTATTAAATTTTGAAAATATACGTACTATCAAAGTTGCAGCAGCTGATCCATTTGCTGACTTAAAAGTTGATATAACTTTTAAACTATTGGAGATACGACAATAAACATTCAAGTCATTTTTGTAGGCAATGAAATTATCTCTCAGATAAGTCATTTGTCAATTCCGTACCTATTGTCAATTTGTTGTTTTTTATATTTGTTTATAAAAATTGATATTTTTTTTTTTGAGTTTTTCGAACTTTTGCGGCTTGTAGCTCAGTAAATAATGCAAATTTGGTTATTGTACTTCAAGGCAATTCTGTTAAGCTATTAATTATATAACATTTGCAATTGTTTATTTAATTTTCAGTCAAATTTTTTATAAATTATATATTTTTTAATAAATCTTTGGAAATTTTTTTACTTCTAGCTATTTACATACTATTCTCTGGCTATCTTCAATCAAAAATATTAAAAATTATTGCAAGAATTTCTATAAATAATTGAAAGAAAAGTCTTAAAATCAATTATGTTGAGGGGATCCGACAAAAGATTTGATCTGTAAACACGCAGCTGCACATTGAAACGTACAAAACTCGAAGCGAAAGACAAAAACGAATCAGTAAAAAAAGTCTGACTAAATTTTAAAAACACTGTGCAATATTATGTAAAAAATTGAAAATAATAGGATTGCATAAACTTTCCAAAGATTTAGTAAAAAATCTGATGTGTCCAACACATGACTTTCCTATCTAGTTATTACAGGCTTTTTCCGTTTATTGTGTACAACCTATTGCAGCATCTCAATAAATGTTTAGAGGATAAACTAAATATATATACATTGTCCACATACATCTACCGCGAAACATTTTTCTATAGATATTCATTGAAAATGAAAATACTGAAAAATTTAAATTTAGCACTTTTCCTACAATTTTTCCATTACGGTCCATTTAAAAAAAATCATGTATGAACAAATATTATAGAGATCGATATCGCAAACAACTTTTATTTCAACAATTTTCATAAAAATCAGAATTTTGCACATTTTGTCAAATTTCTCGAATACGGACCATTTCAGGAAATTTTTACATAAAGCAAAAATTATAGATAATAATATTAGAAGTAACTTTTATTTGAACAATTTTCTTCTCCAAACATAAATAACATATATTCCATAAAATATAAAAACGGCCTCCCATAAAGTACCCCCCCCAGATGTTCCGACTTTGTCCAAAATCTAATCATTTCACGTCAGGCCGAAATAAAACTTAAGTTTAAAATTTATTGATTTTTTCTTTATCCGTTTTTGAGTTTTCTTCAAATTTCGAAATTTACACATTTTCTCAAATATCTCGAATACGGTCCATTTTAGAGACATTATCTATGGAACAAAAATTATAGAGAATTATATTACAAACAACTTTTGTTTGAACAATTTTTATAAAAAAAAATATTTTTTTACATTTTGTCAAATTTCTCGAATACGGACCATTTTAGGAAAATTTTGTAAATAACAAAAATTATAGATAATAAAATAAGAAGTAACTTTTATTTAAAAAATTTTCTTCCCCAAACGTAAATAACAGATATATTCCATAAAATATAAAAATGACCACCTATAAAGTACCCCCCCAGATGTCCCGACTCTGCCCAAAATCTAATCAGCTCATTAGCCGCTGGAATAAAGCTTAAGTTTGAAATTTGGTGTTTTTCCGTGTATCGGTTCATGAGTTATGCGTTATGCGTTATACAGACACACACACACACACACACACACACACACACACACACACACACACACACACACACACACACACACACACACACACACACACACACACACACACACACACACACACACACACACACACACACACACACACACACACACACACACACACACACACACACACACACACACACACACACACACACACACACACACACACACACACACACACACACACACACACACACACACACACACACACACACACACACACACACACACACACACACACACACACACACACACACACACACACACACACACACACACACACACACACACACACACACACACACACACACACACACACACACACACACACACACACACACACACACACACACACACACACACACACACACACACACACACACACACACACACACACACACACACACACACACACACACACACACACACACACACACACACACACACACACACACACACACACACACACACACACACACACACACACACACACACACACACACACACACACACACACACACACACACACACACACACACACACACACACACACACACACACACACACACACACACACACACACACACACACACACACACACACACACACACACACACACACACACACACACACACACACACACACACACACACACATCATCGCGAAAATAGTCAAAACGGATTCAGAGGACCTCAAAACGTAAAAATCCGTCGAAAACTCGAGGTCGAAAAAAATCATGATTCCTATACTTTCCTTATATCTGTATACAGATAGGAAAGTAAAAATTATAATAGTTTATAAAAAAATTGACTGAAAATTAAATAAACAATTGTAAATGTTATATAATTAATAGCTTAACAGAATTGCCTTAAAGTTCAATAACCGAATTTGCATTATTTACTCTAAGCTACAAGCCGCAAAAGTACGAAAAACTTAAAAAAAAATCAATTTTTATAAACAAATGTAAAAAACAACAAATTGACAATAGGTACGGAATTGACAAATGACTTATCTGAGAGATAATTTCATTGCCTACAAAAATGACTTGAATGTTTATTGTCGTATCTCCAATAGTTTAAAAGTTATATCAACTTTTAAGTCAACAAATGGATCACCTGCTGCAGCTTTGATAGTACGTATATTTTCAAAGTTTAATAAAAATTGGAATAAATTTTTTTCCGTAGTTTTAATGCACTAAGTCGTTTTTGGAATTTTAATTTCTTTCAGGAAAAAATAAAACAAAGTTGGAAATTTGTTTATAACAAATTGTTAACTTAATAAAATTATTAATAAAAAATTTTTTTCTACGAACCCTTACAAAAAGACATCTTTCGCCACAGGATACTTTCAGCGAAAACTTGATTTCCGTCACTAGTGAGAAAAAATCCCATAACGTTTACTTTCGTC